CATCTCAAGATCTAGACTTTAAATTTCATTTAAATCAGTTCAGAAGTTTTGGCTTTTAAGACAGACAGACATAGTCACTTTCACTTTCATAATATTAGTAAGGTATTTATTAAATAAACTGACCCAAAAAAGCGTAAGAAAAAAGCTTCATCGTTCTAGCTTCAAATATGACGAATTTCCATAAAAACTTTTATCTGCTATTTTATTTTACCCCTTGAATGGTGACAATGTGATATTTACAAATTTAAATGTCATATTTATTTATATTTAATAAACAGTTTAAACATTTCTTTAAATTCTTTTGAAAATTGGTGGTCCAGTTGGCCAATAACATAATAAAATTTTGTTAAATCAAAATAATAGATGTGATATTCTAAATTGCAAACTATCCCTCTACTTGCGCGAACCATATCTCTGACTCTACTGGCCAGAATGGAGAAACGCGTATTCCGAACCTGAATAGCTCGGATGGAACGGTAGATGTTGTTTCTTCCAAGGAAATGTTGTTCATATGTATTGCCATCATTTTTAATATTATATGTTGTTTTATTCTTCAAAAATATTAATAATATGTTCTTACGCTCTTGTCCAAGAGCAGGGTCATCAGATATAGGCTATACCAGGATTATATTTATGTATTTATAAAATAAAATTGCAGAGCAAACGTTTATTCATTTAAATTCATAAGGAGACAACGGATTGACAATAATCAGTTGCGCGCGCTGCTTATACAAATGACATATATGTTTATTTATGACATATGAGCGTTAATAAGTCGCATATCTAGTACAATACTGATGTAATTCAGAAATTAAAAATTTTTGAAAATAGACTTAATAACACAATTATAAAGTAGACTTTCCAAAATATCTAATTTTTTAGTTAAGCCATTATTATAATAAGTGTTTATTCAACCGCATAAAGATAACCTTGCATTACCATTTTCAACCCCTTACAACCCTTTTTTCGCATTAAAAAGTAGCCTATGTCCTTCCTCGGCGTCTAGACTATACCAAATTTCATTTAAATCAGTTCAGTAGTTTTGGCGTGAAAGCGAGACAGACAGACAGACAGAGTTACTTTCGCATTTATAATATTAGTAAGGATATTATTAAATTACAATAAAAATGATGACCGACCGTCTTACAAATTATTATAAAATGTAAGTACTTTAAAAAGCTTTTGTTATCGGTGACACTGATAACAACTGCAAGGCATTATTTGGCAACTGGTTTCTGATATTTTGGCACATGATTATTGTTGGCTTAAATAGGTCATGTTTATTGAGAAATAATAATAGGTGTTAATATTAAAATATTAACCAATTAATTTTATAATAATGTTTTTACCACTTTTTCTATTACAACGTTTGCCATTTACGCGATGTCAATCAAAGGTTCACGGTCGTTGCGTAACACCCTTTTAACCTCGCTATCCCTCTAAGTAAAAATATCTCACCTTTTACATTAAAAATATACGGGATCTCCGGCGATCAATATTTTCCTTCGCTTTACGTCAGAATAATTCATGATCCTTTTTATCAAGACTGGCAAGCTTGAAGCTGGGTATAATAACAAAATTGTTATTGCCATGTCGTTAAACGGGAGTAACTAAATGATTTGTAGTTCTTGATGATTGTGCGTCCCAGTTAACGAAATTAAACGCGCCCTCAGCGTTATTGTAATGATATCATTGCTATTATTCAATTGATACCTTTTGTTTTTATATCTTGTATATATACATACACCTATAACTGTACCTATTTTATGATTGCCATCATCATCACCTAAATTGATGATAATGAAAAATGTTTGAGATACATAGATTACATAAGATTGAAACGAAATAAGTTTAGTTAACTGTTAGGTCTAACACATTACTGTTCATTTCATCTCCATATCCAATGTAGGCGGCGTATCTAGATTTAAGGTTACTCAGTCTTGTTTAAAGTGAGTCATACCCATTATAGCCTGCAATGTACGCTTATTTACGATATTCTCCGGAAACCAAGATATGATGAATTTGTATTCAATGCAATTAACTAAAGCCTTATTTTTAATTTCGATTATAATTCTGACATGGCTTGATTTATTAAGTTCGTCATTGTTCTAAGCATCTAATAAGATGGTTCGCATAACTATTACCAGGTATATACTAAACTATTACCTATTTTGTCTTAAGTTATACTACTTTTATAAGCGATGTATTCAGTATTGTATATATATAGTATACAATCTCTCTCTTAGTTATATTGCATACTACCGCAAGGTTTCTGAATAATATCCAGTTTTCTAGTATATAATTTTCTATTATGTTCTAACTTGTCGACCTCATTGCTTGTCTAAAATTCCTAACTTGTTATAACTTAGAACATTCAACTTCTCATTTGGTATCAAAACGTACTGAAATTTTCATCAACTCTCAAGCTGTAAGTCGTGTCTTCATTGTTCAAAGGCGACCCTGCCTTCATTAATGCTTAGGACACATCCCTTTTGTCATCACTGCAGCGTGTCTTTCCTTCAACGAAAGGAGAAAGGCCTTATATTACGCCTTTGTTTTGAATGCTAGTGTAAGTATGTTTTATTTTCCTTATATTTAACTGAATAAAACTTTTAGTATACTACTTATATATATATATACATATACTATATATACTATATACATATACTATATATACTAAACTACAGTTAATTGTAAAAGGCTGTGAAGTATAGAGCGACTGTATATGATTTATATACAATCTTTGAAAGACACATAATACTATTATTATTATTGTTCCGTTTTTAACGAATGGAATGGATGAAAGGAGACAAATGCATTATTTAAAAAAAAAACATAAGTCATTATATGCATATATTCGGTTCATAATAAAGTCAAAAGAAACAATTAAACACGAGTATCAAAACATTTGTAAAGAAAATTATGTATAAGCTGCCAACAACAGCAGTTATAATTTGATTATCATCGGAAATATCCCAAGGGCTTCTTTTCGTTATCATGTTTCTTGTAACTTGATCTCTCTATATTAAACATCTAACGGCTCGTCCCTATTTTACCGGGGTTAGCAATAAACATACTAAAATATATAGGTTATAATTATCGCATAACACCTTTTGAATGTCAATATGTTTTTTCAAGTAGGTGCAGTGGTTCCGAAAATTCTTCCTTAGATGTACATAAACTCGCTCCTTTCTCTTTATAATATTAGTGTACATAAATGATTTGAACAACATTGACTTGTATATGTATAATAGTCAGTAATTTATATATTTAATAGCGGGCCACAGCAGTTTGAATAGAATCCCAGTGTATTTAAAATTTATTCACGAGTGCCTGCGAAATATAGACGGTGGGTATACCCGCACTGAAAGATAAATAGCAAAGGTGTTCTAACGATTGCAAACTGTAACCAAAATTATTAAGATATAATTTACTACTAAGTTACAGATTTTCTGCCAAGGCTACGTTGGTAGTAACTGAAAATGCAAAGCATTTCACAGTAATGCTACCAAAATATGCCTTTGTAAATTTCAACTACGATACTAGCAAATATACATATATAGAGCAAATAATACAATTAATTTTTTCCATTTACGTTCCAATGACTGTTGACACAGTTAGACAGATATCTCTATGAGTAATCAAATTATTAATTAAACACTCGAGATACAGACGGAAAAACTAACAATTTCGTTAATCTAGTCGGCAACCGTTTTTATTTCTGGCAAGATATTAAATTGGCGTGTAATCGTGTATTATCAACATAATGATAACGAGCAGTTATCAAATACAATTAATATGCAATTCATTTGATTTAAACTTAACTTTATCAAGGGAGTCAATATTTTGGACATGACCTCATATTCATAATATGACAATATTTATATTTCTACTTACATATTTCTTATGGAATTTATACTTAGTTATATTTTAATCAAAAGAATTGTGATACAGCATTTCCAAGTAACCGCGTCTTACTTTGCTTAACTTGTCTTCATTTATTCTACGTTCTTTTGGAGTTAAAATGAAATAATTCAAGTTGTGAATCATTATATTTACTTATTCATATCTCATAATCTTATCAATAATGCTTAGTCACTTTGTTACGTCTATTTTTGTAACATTATCTGTTACGTATTTATTAATTCTAGTTACTTTATTCAATTAACTTTATTTTACTGTAATATTGATGTTTACGTCGAAAAATAAACGAATTCAAAACATTTGGTTTTCAGCATGAAACTATAATATTATGTCTATTGTTAATATTAATGATTTTTATGAAGTATTCTTTTGAGTTATGTTCATCACAAAAAGCTTGAAATTAATATGCTAAATTTCAAATAATCTCAAAAAGTCTCGAAATCTATAGTTCAGTAAGATTTAGTAGATGCATGCTTATTGTTGTTTTATTTCTTAATAAGAATATTTATTAAGTAATAATTCATAATTATAGGAAGGTGTTTGTGCTTTAAAATTAACAATGGCTAAGACGTTGCAAGTTTTCGGTTGCAAGTGCCCAACTGTACTTTATACGTTTTATGTGTATGGATAAATATACTCGAAGTACTCTTGTCTGCGGTTGCATTGGATAAGATAATCTTACCACATTGATCCCTCCTGCACAGCTGCGGAGGCAACGAACCTATCAACTGGTTTACATACACTCTTTATCGGGATTCAATAACGTTAGATATATTTTGCCCATTATTATAATTGCTTTATCCGGCTTTTATTATGATCTCAGGTGTAATTTTTATAAGACGCTTTACTTTTTCTCTCAGTAACTAAATATTTATCGTAATACACTCAAATTTCTATGGTTATGTTTTATGTCTAATTATCTGTACCCGCGACTTTGTCCGCGTGGAATTTAACACTACTTTCTGATGCTGAGACATGTTAAAAATAAAAATACATAGAAAAAAGCTGCATGTCAGTTTTATACTGAACCAACTATTTATATATGTTTTTATTAATGGCTCATTTTTTTATTTCAGATTTGTCCAAGAATCGATTCAGTGAGGTGCCCGATGAACTGACTACGTACGTGTATTTAGAGAAGTTACTACTGTCCCAAAACATCATCAAAAGTGTACCTGATTCCGTTGGAGGCCTACAGTCTCTCACATATTTAGATCTCAGGTAAAACAAACAATTAATTATATTGCAATCATGTTAAAGAACACATGTATATTGCGGTATTCGCAGTGCATTATATTATATTATACATACACAGTTGGCCCAATGTTATTAGAATTTTTAAATACATAATTTGTTTTTTGTACCTACTAAGTATCAGAAAATTAAAACTCTGTGAGAACAAATACTAGGACACCTATAGGTACCTATTTGGTATATAATTATATTTATTATCCCAATGCCGTTGACTAAACTTGCGGTTAACCCTAAGTACTTTGAGTTTCTGGTCCGACCGCTTCTTAAAGTATAACAACTGCGTTTGATCTCTATAAAGGTTATAAATAATAAAAATATAGCGGTACAGAAATAAATCCTAAGTTATAAGAGTAAATATTTTTAAGACGACCTTGTCGTCTTGTCACATTTAAAGATTATTGTACCATACAAAATGTCTGTGCTTAATTGTTCTCGTTCTCAGTACTGTAATTGTAGAAATAAAAAGATAGGAAATATAAATATAAAACTTGTGGAATATGTATTTATTTGGAATGGAACACTTACATTGCTAAGTACAAACATATTTAGAATATAACTTGCAGATTTAAATAAACTTATGATTTCTTGTCGCTGTGTAGTTTGCATTTTGGAGCACTTGCATCAGTTCCATTTTGACGTTAAGACGTAGTTCTTCCGGTATAGTCTTTAAATGAGGCAACAGTGACAAAAGGAACAATCTGTCAGAATCATCTGGTTCGGTTTTTGTGGAAGTGTCGACACTCGCAAACGCAAATTCATCGGGTTTGTTAATTTTAGGTATTTTTGAAGTAACTAAAACGTCAACATCGTCATTTGAATATTCTCTGGATTCTTCATGATTCCCGATTTCCTCATTGTCATCTTCTGAGCTCTGATCTTCTTCTTTTCCTATTTTTAATTTTCTTTTGCATCTCCACGATGATGTTGCTCTGTTAGGTTTCAAAACTTCATCGGATTCACTCGAGGCTTCACCTTCATTATTTTCAGGAATGGATTGGTTTTTTAATAAAAATTGTAAGTGTTTGAAATAAATGTATGGTTTCCTGGTTCTATTTGGATTTGCAATGTATTTTTGAAAGCAATCCCGGATGCTTTTCCATTTCTTCTGAAGTTGAAGTTCTGTAAAAAAATGTAACGTAATAAACAAGAAATAACTACTTACTTGATGTTAAATTAAGTAACATTATGTATATATTAACTTATGTTAATATATAACATTAATTATACTTGGTATTAAATCCCAGTGTACGAGATGAGAACACGCAGTAACTAGAGATGACTTCTTATAAAAACCAGTTGGTAGGTACTTAGTAATCAGCTCGAGAATTGAATATATACTTTTTGAGAGTTGGTAACACGTGGTAATAATGTAGCTATTATTACTGTTTTTATATTTACCAAGTTCTCGCATCTCGCTCTTTGATAGTTTTACATCGTTCTGCATAAGTTCAGTGACTATTTCATTCCATAACTTGTGTCTACCATTCTTTGCTCGATATTCCAAATCTTCAAAATCCCATATGCCAGGTCGTTTCTTCACCTCATCTATGAGACGTTCGGGGTCATATTCAAACTGCATTATGGCTATCAAGGTCAACAACTGTTTAAACGCTCGTACAAACGGGCGGGCAGACACCGGGCGACTGACGCGCAGCGGGGGAACGCTGCGGTTTTGCTTCAAAATGGCCGCTGTGTCGAGTAGGGTGAATATCTCATCGTGGACAGACGTAGCCGAAGCAATGAACTTTTGTAATATAAACGCACAGAAATAAAATTATCTTAAATTCGATAATCGTGTAGGTATGGTGCCTATATTCGTACAAGGCTGTCATTATACTGTCTTTATAATATTTTTCCAATCAATAGTTTTGTAGTGTACAGAATTAATGTAAGTAAATTTATCAATATCAAAACGTAACTAAATTCTATGTTTTCTTACATAAATTAGAATTTATTATTTCAGCGAGGTACATTGTAGATTAGATACCCTCAGTACCCGTACTGCTTCATACTGGCATAAGTGACAGACATGAACTGCGCTCTATTCCAAATAAATATTGAGCGCCGTTCTGTTTAGATAAGGCCATTATATCAAATTAATTAGTTTAATTTTATACACACACCAATATTTATGTGACTTTTGTACTACCAACCTATTTAGAATGAATTGTAAGATAAGTATATCATTCTACATGCTGTTATGGCTCTGCAACCATATTCAATTAAATACCTGAGACATTAAATAAGACTTCACTTTTATTCGGTAAATTAGCTGATACGGTTAAAATTTACAGATTTATCATTATACCTGAAACAAAAATTTTGTACCCCTTTTTACGAAGATTGCACGGACGTAACGTTCATATACAGAAATGCTAATATTTTTTTAAATATGCATAAAAATATATTAAATCAATAAAAAAATCATTACACACACTAACCATATATTTGACACACACATAGTCTAAACTTATAATTTCAAATAATTATGTCGTATTTCGACCCTCTAGTATTAATAAAAATGTATTCCATAAATTATTTCAAGCAAATTAGACACAGCCTTTCACTGAAATTCGTGTAACCACAGGAAGTTTAACAAAACTCATTTTGTATTAATGGCTAAATCCGTCTGGTGTACAATAAATGCAAGATTAATATACTAGTCCCTTGAAATTGTGTGCAACCTAGCGCCGAGCTATCGAGCGTATAGCGCGACGCGCGGACGGATCGCAGCCCCCGCCGAGGGGAAACGCGCGTGCATGTCAGCGTTTTAACATCCAACGTATACTCTGTACGATATTTGGTATGTAAATATCATTTAACTATGAAGAATTTTAATTATCTTTACTTGTACCATTTTTAAATTAAATTTAGCTTTTAATGGTGATGGTCAACGTAACCAGTCTAATGAGCTATATTTTGTAAAAAAATATTTATTTTTAAATTTGTAGTAGGTTGTACTGCATTAAAAATAGAGTTCTTGGTCTTATGTCACATTGATTTAAAATTTAACAATTTTATTCAAAACCGGTCTAAAGGTTTCTTCAATAAGGTAGTAAGAAATTGTTGTTTTTAAATTAGTAAGCACTTTTAGAAGTTTCGTTCGCGTTGAATATATATATATTGTTTATTTACTTAACCTATGTACTTGTCCAAATACTACCTTGGTATATATATCTAAAAATTACACAACGATTGGTTAATTTCGCATTTATATTTGAGAAAAATAACCTAATAAACTGATATCAAATCTGCAGAGAATTAATAATATAAGCAAACACTACTACGTAAAGCTATGTAGGTATTCACTAATTGAACGTGTTGCTTCTGTACACAATTATGATTGTAACACTTGTATAAGAATCATTTAGGTTCGCACTTGTAAATAAACACATGGTTTGTCTGAAACAACAACTCTTGTATAGTTTCAATTACGAAATCAGTATACAGTATAGTATAGTATAACATTTAAAATAAAGTATAAAGTATAGCTTTTACCTTCTAGCTTCGTCTACAGCCGTAAAAAGGTAACAAAGAGAGATTCAAATTTATAATATTTGTATGGGTACATTTATAGACGTAGTAGTTAGTGACATGGTTGAAAAAATTTACACATTTTCTTACAATGCATTTTCAGCAATAATGAGCTAAATTTGAAAAATTTTAGCTGCTTGTTATTTATAAAATGACCTTTGCAAAGTGAAGCAAAATTGGATCTGAATACATAATCTTTTATCGTTTTAGATACAGATAACTAAAAATATTATATACACTCAGTCATTGTTTACATAGATTTAATTAGATTGTACAATATCGCCTCATTTGGATTATATTAAGCTTAAATGTGTACTTACTAAAGTAGGTACTGGTGTTGTCGTTAATATTTAAATATTTACTCAGGCTAAACAGCATTATATTTCCGACATCCTTAATAATTAAAATCTATGTTATACATAATCAAATTGAACCTTATATCAACCCTATAAGACTTACTATATGATCAGATTTCAATGTATGGTAATTATTGCATCCGACCGGAATTCTGGCACCGGTTCATGTAATTATTACGTTCATGTTACGTTCTAGTCCCAAGGAGTAATATATCTGTATGTATATCTAGCATCTATCTACTATTTATTGTTTTGACCACCTCATCTCTAGTACAAGTCCTTATTGTTTTGGTAAGGATTTATGAGTTTGTTAATAATTCAGATCCATTGATTTAACATAACTTCAATGTTTCTAATAAAGTTAAGGTTATAACAATTCAGTGATATCACTACACTACATATCTCAGAATGAAAACTGCATCCTACCGTACCTCCTCTTTTCATCTACTGGCGTGAAAACTGTATATAAACGCGATTTTTTATCATTCAATTCTTCTATTTTCAAAATTCACACATCGCTATTCCATAGTTCAAAAAGTATAGCATCCAGGTTTGTCTCACAATCTATTCTTTATTCTCATTACACTGAATATGAAAATGAAGGAACTCATGTGAAAGTTTAATCTTGGGCTATAGATATGTACCACCATGAACAAACATATATTTACACTGTACAATAACGCCCACGGCATTTCATGCATGACCCCTTTTAAATACTGGGTGTGGACTGTTCCCTTCAATGAAATAACATACACTTCAATGCAGCACGTCCAACTGCTACTTGGGAGAAATTCAAGATGATGGCAGAGTCTTCGTGTTGTGAGGCGATTGTAAGAAATGAAGACATATGGCCTATTTGCTAACAATAAATACCCTATCAGGTCGACTTACGATTCCTGCAGCATAGTCTTATAAAGCTATATAGTGGAGACGATTGTGAGTGATGGGGGCAAATGGCCTAATTGCTAGCACTACACTATCAGCTCAACCTCAAAGCTCTGCTGAAAACCATCGTGGTTAATCCCTGGGTCATTCGCCACAACTTGATTTCACCAACATCGTATCAACCTCGACTAGTACCTCGTCGGCATATAGGTACAGAAAAATGAAAATCACTACAGCTTTTGTATTATTTTTACCAATATTTATTATTTTCATTATTTTGTATTAGGGCCAAAAATTTTGTTGATTTTAACATTTATTTGATCGTTTATCTGATATGCTATGCTATATTACAAATATTCATACATTTCACCTGACATAAATATTTCTTCCAATACCGTGCTAACTAGTATTCCGAAAACGAAAATAATCTCTATCGGTACGTGATAAGAGCGCAGATGTTTTTAGGCCGGCATAAAGATCAGTGGGAAGGTGAACGACCGCAAGTGTCACGGTCGTCGTGGTGCTACCGCGCACATGGTTCTGCGACGTCGATTAAACAATACCTATTAGGTATTCTGTAACAATGGACGTTATATTATTTGGTAATGCAATTGTTGATACTTGAATAATTCGTATCCGCTTTCCTATATAACTACTAGCTTTTCCCGCGGTTACACACGCATGAAATTTAAATCCTGTGATATTATAATATATAAACTATATTAATGTAAAATTTCATCAAAATCCGTTCAGTAGTTTAGCGTGTAAGGGGAACAAACATCCATCCATCCATACTCACAAACTTTAGCGTTAGTTGGTTATTAGTAAGATACAGGTTAGCCGTAAAGTATATATATGAAGCCGAAAGGTCGTGATTATCCAAGAATATGAACAAATTTCTCCAAGAAATTATGTCGATATTTGATTTTTTTTTAAATCTTCAACAAGCTGCGTCACGTGATGAATGTTGTGTGTAAAATTCAGAATTTAATTTCATGTGTCCATTTTGTTTCTTGGTGAAAGTGGCTCAGTTATGTTAGTAAATGAGGTATTGTACCTGATTCTTGAATTGGTATATTCTTTCTCATTATGGCAAGATTACAACTTATAAAACATTCAACATTAGGCAGAAATAATAAACGTATATAAAGTATACACGAACAGTCTTTGTATGAAAATATTTTCAAAAATGCGAATAGCACTTAAGTTTTTGTACAAAATCGAACCAAATGAAGTAGTTTGACAAAACAATGAGGTATTTAATATTTACTAGCAAATTTTATAATTGATTTTCCAATAGCCCTCTTTAGTTTGTTTACGATCTTATTTTCTGTTTTTTTCTAAACTTTTAAATCATTATCATTTCGGTGTTTACCTACTCATTTCCTATAAAATTTTTCTCGTCACTAAATCTCTTTTCTCTTTTTCCTTCATCTGTCTATATTTACATTCATCGACTTTCATATTTCAGTCTTGATTATGAAATTAAATTTTTAAGGGCTATTTCTTGCAGGCATATATTAATGTCAATTCTTGAGGTTAGTTTTAAACTGTTATTAATTATAATAATAGTCGTTATAATTAAATTTCCAGTAATTTAAGAAATAGAGTCGAGGTATCAAACTTTGCAAAATTAATAAACGTTACTCAATACTCAATGCATATAGTAAAATGTATCTGGTCACCTAATGGAAAATTCTCACTCACCATGATAGAACACAAAACAATTATTATTATAATTGTCTTGTGTGTGGTGTTCACAAATGTATTGTGATAAGCTTAAGTTTTGTTTTATTCTTTTAGTTTAATCCTACGGATTTTGTTTATGAAAAAAATAAGTTAAAAATCATTGTTTTTTTA